ATAGAAAAAATCTTTTTGCTGCCTATTAGCAGCAAAATATTATGGGGCAAAAATATCTTTAAAAGGCTAAGAGAAAATAACTGTCACCTAGAATTCTATGTCCACTAAATTTCCGTTTAAAGGACATGAAATAAAGACATTTTAAGACAAAGACCAAGAATGTTAACCCCTCAAAGACTTTCGCTGCAATGCCACAAAAGGATATACATCATAAGAAGAAAATGGAAATAAGAAGAAAGGAGTGGAATGCAAGAAGGAATGGTAAGCAGAGAAATTTATAAATATGTTAGTCAATCTAAACAAGCATTGGGATGCTGCCGATGACAGTGGTGGTGGTTAGAAATAAAGTGTAACTAAAATAGTAGATAGAAATATGGGAGATCGTGGGGAAAGAAGATCAGAGTTAACATGTTCTAAGGACTTTCTATATTCAGGAAAAGTATGGTGATACTGATTCACCGTAGACTTAAGTAAGAATATTTAGAAAATGTATAAAGAAATAATCATTAAAAGAATAGAAATAGAATGCATAACTTCCAAATCAGTGGGGGCCAAGGGATAAACAAGATAAATAAAACAAATAAAGCCAGTTAGTGGTGTTGTAAATCGGTTCAACTACTTTCGAGCAATTTGGCAACAACTAGTAAAGTTTAAGATGCCCCTACTGTATGACCTAGAAGTTCCACTTCTGGGTATCTACCCTAAAAGGCATGCACAGAGCTGCCCAATGCAGCACTGTTTTTAATATGGAAAACTGGAAACAGCCTAAAAGCCTATTAGCAGAACAATGAATAAATAAATTGTGATATATTCAGCAATGAAATCGTATTCAGCAGTTAAAATCTATGAACTGGAGCTATGTGAAACAACATGGATAAATGTAAAAACAAATTGAGGGAAAAGAGAAAGTTTGCAGAAGAATGTGCACAATATAATACCATTTAGATAGATTTCTAAAACATACAAATCAAAATTATGTATTGTTTGTGGATACATACATATGAAATAGGACTGTAAAACCATAAAGAGAGGGCTAGCTCTGAATCAAATGTGGCAAGATGGGAATGGTTGTTGGATTTCAGTCCTGTGTACATGGATATTTATTATGTTATTCTCTGTGCTGTACTTTTTTTGTATGTTTCAAATACTCTTTTGTTTTTAACGAAAGGATCTAGGCATTTAGTAATAAGGGTAAAGGGGGATAAATGGCTGCATCAGTCCTCAGAAAGGATGATCTCCTGGTATGGGATTAGGAGGGAGGCTGAGTCCTGAGTCCAGGGATTATGAGGATTAATTCAGATCATCCCCCTAGGCTGATCACCTGGCTGGCATGCCCACCACCCCTGGCCCTTCACAGACACATCCCTGGACCACAACCCACCTCCCTCATATCTCCTAAGCAGTTTCCCCTCAACCCTCAACTCAGTACTGGTTTGGCCAGGGTTTGCCCAAGTTTGGCTTTCGAGAATAGACTGGTTCAGGTCTTCCTTGAGTGTTCCCCAAATCAAGAGTGAATGGTGACCTGTACTTCAGCAGCCAGGGAGAGATTAGTCCTAATACTCCGGATTAGAACTCCATGAGGAGAGCTTGGACCTTTTCATGTCACAGTTGACAACTCCCCCCACCCCCCTGTGCCTACCTCTACTCTCCAAGAGGTCAATGGTCAAGGCCAACTGCTGGACCTGACCCTGCTGGAGGAGGCAGAACCAGAAGAAGCTGGGGTGGAATCAACAGTCACTGGGCTTCCAGAATTAGTCTCTGCCAGTCCCTGGAGCTCTACATTCCCCAGACCCCCAATGCCAGCCCCTTTCCACCATCTCTGGCAAATGCTCTGCTCCCCAAGTCTGAACAGACTTGGCATCTGCAGCAAACCCTCTGCAGAAGGGGTTGGTTTATTCAACAGCCTTTCCCCATGACTGGGTGACCTGGGCCACAGGATCTGGAGTGGAATCTTGTACCCTGGAAAGCAAGTGAAACATCCTTGATCTCTGCCCGTCATCTCTCAGAGCACTGGGCTGCAGGGAATGAGGGGGGTGGGAAGGAGAGTGGGGGAGGGACAGAGCTTGTAGGCAATATTATTGTTAATGGGCAACATTTAACTCCACAAATATGAAATGATATGTTAAATGATAAGATAGAGCATTAACTGTGTAGCTGGAAGATTTACCTTCACCCATTTATTCTATGTGTCAGTCACTTTGTCAGATGCCGGAGCCACAAAGATGACTAAAATACTTCCCAAACTTCAAGAAACTGGGCAGACAGAACCTGACAACCCAGAGTAGCCGGGGCTGCCACAGAGAGGCAGGCAGGGTGGGGCACAGCAGGGGCCTCTAATGTGGTAGGGACGGGGGCGTCAGGGAAGACTGCCTAGGAGTGACCCCCAACTGAGAGTTGAAGGAAAATGGGGATGTCCAGGCACAGAAAGGCTTCTTTCCTGTGGAACAGGGAGGGCTTATGAACCTGGGAGCCTGCGGGGGGAACACAGACAGTGCGTGCCTCGACTTGTGCGTGGATATGCAAGAGAAGGGACTGGTGTGCGTCTCTGGCTTCGGAATCTCCCAACAATTGTCTGGATGTGCTCGGAAGCCCCGTTCCCAATCGCACCCACTCCCCTCCTGGCTGAGACCAGCAGAGATGTGAGCATTGCCTGGGCAACAGCCGGCACGGGGAGACGATCCTTGACTGGATGAATAAATTGTCGAAGAAGTGAAACAGGCTCTTTGGTCTTCCATATCTCCCTCTGTGCGAGTGAAAATCAGCAGTGTCCAGCCTGAGCCTACAGTGGGGGTGGCTGGCAGCCCACCGGGTGTGGGACCAGGAAGGACGGCAGGGCGGTAGGGGAGGTCTTCGGGCACTGAAGGCCTGTGAGGCCACCGGAGGGCTGCTCCTAAGAGGGCCCCTGGCTCTGGCTTGCTGGGGGCGAGAGAAAAGCAGAGACCAGGGCCCCACCGTTCGCACATCCGGGCCGCGTGGGGCCGGGCGGGCTGACCGAGGAGCGGGTGGGGGCGCGCGTGTCTGCGCGTCTGGGGGAAACAGTCCATCCTCGTCCTTTGCGGGCCCCACCGCTGAGAGGACCGGGCCCGACACCTGGTGCCTAGGGGTCCCCGCGCACATACCACGCCGGGCGGGGCCCACCGCCAGAGCCAGTGGGTCTTGTCGCCCCCACCCCGGGGCAGCCTTAAGCCCGGAGTCGCTCACGTGCGCCCGGCGGCTGCGCGCCCCTCGGGAGAGCCAGGGGCGTACCGGAGCCGCGAGCAGGGAGGGCTTCCGGGCGGCGGCGGCGGGAGGAGGTGTCAGGTGGCGGCCAGGCCCCGCCCCCTCGGCCCGCCCTCCCTCCTCCCTGCGCACCCGGCTCCGGGTCCCCGGGCTCGCTGCAGCGGCTTCTGCTCCGGGAGGCGGCGGCGGCGGCGGCGGCGGGAGCGGCCATGGAGGCGGGCGCCGGGGCCGGCGCGGGAGCCGCGGGCTGGAGCTGCCCCGGCCCAGGTCAGAGCCGCCCCTCCCTGACCTCTCCACCGCCACTCCTTCCTCTTCTCCATCTCTCCTCCTCCGGACCCCCAGGTGCTCCCTGCCTCCGCTGCGCCCCCCTCTCCGCCCGAAGTCTTCCTCCCTCCACCCCGGCCTCCACCCGGCGCGGTCTCCATCTTTCCGGCCTGGGACTTGTCCACACCGGCCGCATCCTCCCTGGCGGTCCCTCCCATCTTGTCTCTCCAGCCCTTGGGGCTCCAGACCTTGCAACCCCTTCAGCCACGAAGGCCCCTGAGCTCGGGGCGAGGGTAGGGTGGGCAGGTCCAGCGAGAGAAGGGGGGGCGCCGCAGCCCAGAACCCTTTCCCGCACGGCCCCCATCTCTCCCCTCCCCTCTCCTCCCCAGACCACCTCACCCTTCCAGCCTCTCACGCGCTCCTGCCCTCTTCCTTTCATTCTTGCCCCTCTCCTCCTGTCCCCCTGGGCTAAATATACACACACCCTCTTTCTGTGTAAGGGAGAGGAGCCTGGAACAGAGGGTGCTGAGGAGGCTGGGCCACAGGGCTGGGGTCCCCACAGGCAGGCGAGGCAAGAGGTGGCCGAGGGAGGGGAGTCACAGAGCCACAGAGCGGGGCAGAGTGAGTCAGACACTTGCACAGGGATTACAAACCCCAGGGCTCCACGGGGCTGGAAGGCATGTTCTCTTCTCTTCCCCGGCACCCCAGCCCCCAGCCACCCCTGGCATCCCGCAACCCCTCCCCTCTCTCTCTGCTTACAGGACCCACAGTGACCACTCTAGGCTCCTATGAGGCGTCTGAGGGTTGTGAGAGGAAGAAGGGCCAACGCTGGGGGTCCCTGGAACGGCGGGGCATGCAAGCTATGGAGGGTGAGTTCTCCCAAAAGGCTTTCTTCCCCTCTCCTTCCTCCTTCAATTCCCTTCCCTCCTCCCTCTGACCCCCAGAGCTCTGAGCCAGTACATGGCCCTTCCCTCAGGTCACCTCAGCCCCTCCTCCTTCAAGTCAGGGCTCCAGCCCTCCCCAGGGCTCAGGCTTTGACAGAAGTTCACGATGTATCCCTTTGGGCCCCTGATCACCCAGCAAACCAGGTTGCATGTCCCGGGGGAGCTGCCAGACCGAGAAAGAGGCCTCATTGGACAGAGCTTTGAAGCTGCCTTTCAGCAGGGGGTTTGTTCTCACTGCCTGTCGACCCAGATCCCAAGCTGTCTCTTGTTTTAAAAAGCAAGGAAGGGGGCATGTGGATTGTCTTTCTGGGGCCACCATTATTAACTTCCAATGGAAGCCTTACAGCTTTGGTTCTCGAGAATATCTTACTGCCTGGGAGAGGGCTGGTAAGAAGGCCAACCTCCCAACACACATGTATCCCTACCACACCCATGTGACTTAGCAGTTGCTGCCAGCACCAGGCCCCTGGAAGGATGCTGGTCCATTTTCTAGGACTTCTTGCGAAGTGTTGCACATTGCACATTCAGTGTGGGCAACCCTGCCCCCCCTCAGGGGGTCAGAAAGTGGTCCCGGATGAACCTTAGGCTGCTGATATTAGAGAAAGTAAGACCAGAGATTGAGAGTTTTAAAACAAAGTAAAACAATCACAATCCAGACAAGATTTCGCTGTTTACAGGAACTGCATTGCAGTAAAGGAGGGGGTGCTCACCAAGCAGAGGCTGGGGACCAGCACCAAACCCTGGTTTTTTAACACATTAAAATGGCAGGCTTCCTTTTTACACGCAAGTACAATCTAAGACTTCCCCTGAAAGCCTTGTGATCAGCAGGGAGGAGGGGCCTCACAGTGCTCAGGTGGGGGAAGAGACCTCATGACACCCAGCTGGGAAAAGCAAGGTGGACCTCCTGGAAAATTTCAGAAAGGTGTTTGATAATTAATATACATTTGAAAGGGCCTCAGTATTTGTCCAGTAAAACCTCTAGAATCATTTCCTTCAGATGTTTTCTTTTTTTTTTACCTACTGACAAGCAATGCTTTCTTTTTATTTTTTTATGTTTTTTTTTAGACAGAGTCCCACTCTGTTGCCCTGGCTAGAGTGAGTGCCGTGGCATTAGCCTAGCTCACAGCAACCTCAGACTCCTGGGCTCAAGCGATCCTACTGCCTCAGCCTCCCGAGTAGCTGGGACTACAGGCATGTGCCACCATGCCTGGCTAATTTTTTCTATATATTTTTAGTTGTCCAGATAATTTCTTTCTATTTTTTTTTTTAGTAGAGACAGGGTCTCGCTCTTGCTCAGGCTGGTTTCGAACTCCTGAGCTCAAACAATCCCCCCCGCCACCTTGGCCTCCCAGAGTGCTAGGATTACAGGCATGAGCCACCGTGCCCGGCCAAGCAATACTTTCTTATTATGGAAAGGCTAATTTCTCGCAAGCCACCTGGATAATTTTTTGACTTTCTACAAACCCCTAAACTGTAACTCTTGCCCCATTTGGCCCAAAGACCCACCCAGTGTCTGAATCCTTTCTTGACTGCTTGTCCCACACATGGCGGAGCCAGCACCCACTGCCCCACTTGCCCCCAGGCAGTAGCAGGAGGCTACTGCGTCCAGCATTGGTCTAGGAAGGGCCTGGGAGGGTGAGGGGCTGCCTCCAAAGGTGACCCTCACACCTGAGGAGTCATCATGAGTGCAAGTCCTGCCCAGGGGCTCCTTGGGGGACACCAGGTGGCACTACAATACCATCTCTGCCTCGGGATGGTGAGTTTGAGGGCTCTGGAAGGACTGTGGAAAGGAAGTTGGTGCTGACTCCCAGGTGGGATGGGGTCTCTCCTAGGGGAGGTATTACTCCCAGCTCTCTATGAGGAGGAAGAAGAAGAGGAAGAGGAGGAAGAAGAGGTGGAAGAAGAAGAAGAACAAGTGCAGAAAGGTGGCAGCGTGGGCTCCCTGTCAGTCGGCAAGCACCGGGGCCTGAGCCTCACAGAGACAGAGCTAGAGGAGCTGAGGGCTCAGGTGCTCCAGCTGGTGGCAGAGCTGGAGGAGACACGGGAACTGGCAGGGCAGCATGAGGACGACTCCTTGGAGCTGCAGGGTGAGTGCCTGGGACGGGGCCCAGGGGCCTGGGCCCAAAGGCTCTGTGCTCCCTTGGATCCAAGCCTGACACTGGCCCCCACTCCCTGCAGGACTTCTGGAGGATGAACGGCTGGCCAGCGCGCAGCAGGCAGAGGTGTTCACCAAGCAGATCCAGCAGCTCCAAGGTAATTCCCAGGACTGAGACTTGAACGAGGTGGCCATCCAAGTTGTCACCCAAATACTTTTTTCCTGAGGATTTGACTGAAGCATAGCAGACAAAAATAACCTAATTCAGTACTTTTACCTCATTCTTCTCTACTATTCTCACTCTTCTCTCTTCTCCTTGTCCCTTACCCTCCTCTTTCCCCAGTTTTCTTTCGTTGCATCTCCACCTGGCTCTTCTGCCCTGCCCTCCCCGGCTTTCCCTGCCATGTCACCTCCTCTCTCTGGCTGGCTCTTTCCTCTTGCTCTCCTTCAGCCTCCTCCCTCACACTGCACCCCTTTTCCTTTGTTCTCCTGGTCAGTGCCAGGGGTGGGTGAACAGAGTTGAATTCCAAGCCATATTTCTTTTTCCTGTCCCTCCAAGGACACCATGGAAAGAGCAGAGAGCCAATGAGAAATGACTGGAGGGGCCTCTCTACATCTTTTTATTTTTATTTTTTTGATATAGTCCCTCTGTGTCCCCAGGCTAGAGCACAGAGGTGTCATCATAGCTCACTGCAACCTCAAACTCCTGGGCTCAAGCAATCCTCCTGCCTCAGCCTTCCAAGTAGCTGGGACTACAGATGCATGCCACCGGGCCCTGCTAATTTTTCTATTTTTTGTAGAGACGGGGTCTCACTCTTGCTCAGGCTGGTCTCTAACTCCTGGCCTCAAGCAATCCTCCTGCTTTGGCCTCCCAGAGTGCTAGAATTATAAGCGTGACACCACGCCCGCCCAGCCTCTGCATCTTTTAAGGGAGGCAAATGAGAGCACTTCTCTTGCTCCCTAGGACCTGAGCTTGTGGCCCCCAAATCCCTTTCTTCCAACACCCACATCCCTTTGTCTCTGGGAAGCAGCAAGTCAGGTGTCCCACATTCCGCTGCACCACCAAATAAAGAGGCAGCTTTTGTTACTTCTGTGGGCTTCCAGAAGGTTTAGGGGAGCTGCCCTAGAAAACAGCAGGGACTCTCTAGGGAGAACTGAGATCAAGCCAAAAGAAAAGTATAAATGGAGAAAAAAGGAAGGCCGGGCAACAGGCCTGGAGAGGAGCAAACAGAGGTGTAAGAGAGAGAGAAGAGAAAGGGACAGAGATATATCAAAGGTAGATGCAGGAAGCGTGGACAGTGAAGGGGGCACACAGAGGAAGAAGATGACAGGAAATGGGTTGCACAGGGAAGAGTGTGGGTGTTGGTCTCAAATCACCTAGATTCTTGGATCCAGCTCTACCACTTGGTCTCAGATCAAACTTTGTTATCTTAGGCAAGTCACTTTTATCTTTCTGATACCTTTATTGTCTATAAAATAGGACTAAATCTTTTGTTTATCACTTATTTATTGAGTGCTTTTATACCTGGAGGACCAACTATGAACGAGACAGACCAGATCCTCGCCCTAATGAAGAGTACATTCTAATGGGTAGAGGCAGAAAATAAACAAATAAACAGCATATGTTCAGGTGGCAATAAATGCTATGAATATAATAATGTGATCTATAGAGAGGGAATGGGATGGGAGTTTATTTTAGATAGGGCAGTTAGAGAAGATCTCTTTTAGAAGATGGCATTTGAGCTAAGACTGGAATAATGAGAAGGATCCAGACATTCAAGAACTGAGGGAAGAGGCCGGGTGCGGTGGCTCACACCTGTAATCCTAGCACTCTGGGAGGCCGAGGTGGGAGGATTGCTTGAGCTCAGGGGTTCGAGACCAGCCTGAGCAAGAGCGAGACCCCATCTCTACTATAAATAGAAATTAGCTAAACAACTGAAAATAGAAAAAATTAGCTAGGCATGGTGGCGTGTCCCTATAGTCCCAGCTACTCAGGAGGCTGAGGCAGGAGGATTGCTTGAGCCCAGGAGTTTGAGGTTGCTGTGAGCTTGGCTGATGCCACGGCACTCTAGCCAGGGCAATGGAGTGAAACTCTGTCTCAAAAAAAAAAAAAAAAAAGAACTGAGGGAAGAGCACACCAGGCAGACGGAACAACAGCTGCAAAGGCCCAGAGGTGAAAATGAGCATCATGTGTTTGTGGGACAGAACAAAGGCCATTGTGGCTGGAGCAAAGAGCATATGTAGGACCCTAGTAAGAGAATGTGGCCAGGCAGGCAGAGGCCAGATTACCATGGGTCTCGAAGGCCAGCTACGAGGTTTGGCTTTCATTTTAAATGTAGTAGAGAGCCACAGGAAGGTCTTAACCAGGGCTGGGGTGATCTGATCTGCTTTACATTTAAAAAGATCACGTTGGCCACTGTGTGGAAACCAGATGAGGAAAAGGACTTGAAGCAGTGAGTCCTGTCGCCAAGTTATTGCAATAGTCGAGTCAAGAGATGATGGTCACTTGGATTAGGGCAGTAGAAATGGAGATGGTTCAGAATATATTTGGAAGGTGGAGCCCACAGGACTTGCTGATGAATTAGGTGGAGAGATAACACAGACATGAAAGATGACTTTACCCTGAGAAAATGGGTAGATGATGATGTTACTTACTGGGATGAGGAAGACTTGGCAAGGAACAAGTTTGGGGACTAAGGGAGCCAGTTAAAGCATGTTTTCTACCTGTTGAGTTTGAAGTGGCTGTGGACATCCAAATGAATATGTTAAGGCAGCTGGACATATGAATCCAGAACGAGGGGAGAAATCAGGCCTGGAGATATAAATCTGGGTGTCATTAACACAGGCATTAGAATCCATGGGATCACTATGCAGTCACATGGGAGATACCGGAAAACGAGAGAAAAGGGTCCAGTCCAGAGACACTCCGGTATTTAGAGATCCAGTCCAGAAGGAGAAATGAACAAGAGGGACTGAAGTAGGAGGAATTCCTGAAGCACGTCGTGCCCTGGAAGCCAAGAACAGACAGTGCTTCAAGGAGATAATGATCCACTGTGTCAAAAGTTGCTAAGTCCCGTGAGATGGCAGTTGGATTTGGCAAGGTAGAGGACCTTGAGCCATTTCAGTGCAGATAGATGCCTGACTGGTTTGGGATTGAAGAGGAAATGGAAGGTGGAATGGAAAAGGTGAGTGCAGATAACTCCAGTGGTTGTTTGGAAGAGAAGCAGGGAAAGAAGGGAAAAGGAAATGGGGTCAAGGGAGAGTTTGTTTGCTTAATGTAGGAATGCTAGATCACGTTTGCTCGGTGAAGGGAAAGATCCAGCAGAGCAGAAAAAGGCAATGGCCTTTGCTCGAAGAGGGGACATTCTTCCTTTCAAATGGGCGGGAAGTCAGGGATTCTAAACGAGATGCAGGTGAGAACTGGAGCGCTTCGCTCGTCAGCGCCCCGTAGGAGGCGACTGAGGCTCCCGCGCACGCGCGTTGCCCGTTTCCGCCAAGAGGGGGCGCGCGCGGCCTCGGAGGTAGTTCGTGTTCAGAGGCCGTTCGGGCCGCCACAGCCCCTCGGGGGCCGGGACCGGCCCGGCGGCGGGGAGGCCCCCCAGAGAGACCGCTAGCGGGGAGCCGGCGAGATGGAGGCCATAACCAGTGAGTGAGAATCGCCATCTCTGCCCTGCAGCCCGACTCCAGGGCCAAGGGCCCTTTGGCCTCGCCCCGATGGTCCCAGCCCCACAGTCAGCGGGCGCCTGCTCTTCGAAGCCCGCGTTGGGCCTTTTCAACTCCCGCAGGCCGGGCCCCCGGCCCGCTTCCGAATAAGCCCCGCACCCTGCCTCGGGAGATCCTGCACCTTCTTCCATTACCCAGCGAGTCTCAGAATGCTGTTTTTTAGGGCCAGACCCTAGAGGCGCGCCTAAGGGAGATTTGAACCCTAACGTCCAGGGCATATTAGGGAAGTAGAGGTTGGTCTGGACTCCCAGAAATCCTGCCACAGACACTTGGGCCTTTCCTAATGGCCACTTTCCTAGTGTGTCTCCCCCACTGGACTGGGAGCTCCAAGACAGGACCTCCCTGTGCTGTTCAGCAGTAGGGACAGAGCAAGGAGTTTCTTCCTTTCAAATAGGAAGTCGGAGAATATAAGTGGAGATCCTTGGGTTTGGCACAGCGTGATCAGTTAATATTAGTTGAATATACCAAGGAGAGGGGGCAGCTGGGATCATTCTAGAGCTGGAAGGACTGGCAAAAGATGTGCCCGGAGCTGCACATGTGACCTCCGGAGAGTAGAGCAGGAGACCTTCCCCTGAGATGCCCTGACCACTCAGCATTTATATCTGAAACATGTCCAAATTTTTCTTCAAATGTCTAGGTTCTCTTCTAATTTTTAAGGAAATACCAAACATGTAATTCTGTATACATAGGAGATACTCAGTAAAAGTTTGTTGAATGAATGAACCCCTGCCTCATTTATGCATGACTACAGAAAATATTTATTGAGCTGCCTTATGCAGGCACAATACCAGATCCTAAAGCTGTAATGGTGAGCAAAGCAGACATGT